CCTGGAAGCCGGGACTGAGGCGAGTAATTTTTTAGCTAAATCCTTGTTAACCTTTTACTTACAGTTTATTTGTTTGGGCAGTGGTAGGCTGACAGGGAAGAAGACCGTCCCTTTGCATGGAAGGTCCACTCTTCTAGGTATATCTTATTGTTATCCATATCTAGGAGGGCTCCACAGTGTTGCAATGTCACAGTGCCACAGTATCAAAATCCTACTCCCATCAAGCATAACACTTGAATGTAGAAGCTCAGTTTGTACAAGCTCTGCACCTTGAATTATACATTTATTTTACTACAAATTAGTTTTTTTACTTATTCTTGAATAAAATAAACAGCTGTCATAGTTTGTAAGGCTTGGTGCTGCCCTCCTTCCTTGCTTTCCTGCTGTAGGCACAGGCCTATAAGGACCATTATGGTAAATACAGCCGTACCTGCAGTTATAGGACAATGCCACTCTGAGTCATTAAAGTGCCCTCTGACAGCAGAACATGTGTGACACCACTTCTTCACAAATTATGCTCTTATATGAGCACCTGTTTTATATGTTTTGTATATATGCAGATAAACGTATTGTAAGGTTTTATGGGCAGGGGCAGCCTTGGAAGATCATTTTCCATTTGACTAGATCGTCAATGATTGCCTTGGAGAATATCTGCACTCCCATACCTACATACAAAAATTGGACATAATACCCAGAGAGGCTAAGGAAATATCTGCTAAAATATGGGTACTGCTTTTGAATTTCCAGTGAATTAGCTAGCTGCCTGTCTGTGTTTAGCTTCGGTACCATCAGTGTCAGTGACTAGCACCATGTATGTACATTTTGTAAGGCATTATGAAGTCAGAACTCCTGATCTACATACCTTTTCAGGGGCAGTGAGACTGAATGTATTGAAGCCATTAAATCAGCATGACAACCAGGGAGCTAGCGTTATCAGAAGGGGTGGTCGGCAATGGCAGTCTACATATGTCCATTAGTACAGGTTTCCTTAGAACCTCAAAATCTGTCTCATTGCTCCTACCATTGCCTTGCTGTGCAACAGAATTGATGCATGTCCCTCCTCCGCAAAGTTCAAAACGGAAACGGTAAATTTGCTACAAGTGAACCTGTGCCCATGGGGTAGATTCAACTTCAAACTTTAAGGATGGTTTCTGCTACAGTGGCTGCAGCTTCAGAGATCAGTGAGGGCTTGTTTTAAAGTTTTACTGCTTGTAAAGAAAATGTTATTAGAATGTTCATAGCCTGCCCATAATTCTACAAAGGATTAACATGTTAACAAACACTCATTCTGTCTTGACTCGTCAGAAACAAATCTGATATATATTTCATATTGGAAGAGGGCTTTTTGTCCTCAATGTGCACAAACTCCCCCCAATTCCCTAGAGACCACACATACATTTAAAGATCTGCTCATGCAGGTAATGTGTTGTAGAAATATATTAGCCTCCATTTTTTTTTTTTAGCCTCCACTCACACTGGAGCGGTTGGCCATGCGTAATTTGTACGGCCAAATATGCGCAGAACCGCTCTAAACATAAAAAACAATGCACTTTAATGTGCATTGTGCAGAGTTTTGCAGCGTCCACGCGGTACGAAACCTTGCATCCCGCAAAATAGTACAAGCGAGATTTTAAGGTGGATTTTGCACGTTCGCAGCTAAAGTAATAGCCACAAACTAGCGGAATCTGTGCAGTTGTAAAGATTTTAGCGCTTGCGGGCCCTGCGGTCTTCAGCACGGAAAACCACATGGGGAACACAAACGCTATATATGAATGGAGGCTTAAAGTGTTTTTTCACTTTTGTAGCCAAATGCATGCAATGGGATGACACCTACTTTATATTTGTTACATGTGCCCATTCACATAGCATAACTTAAAAAGAACAAGTTAACTAAAATTGCTGCTTCCATTTCTAGGTGCTTTTTAATTGCTTAAAAAAATCCTACCTACCTCCCCCATATGTAATGTTGGGGGAGGACTGTGGGAAGACATGGTTTCCCTAATAAACCCTGTTTGTACTGTGCTAGTAGATCGCATTATCAGTTCTAAACTAGATTAAACTCTGTCCTAACAAAGGGTTAATGTGTTGGCATATAATGGCGTTTTCTCCAATTTGACTGCAAACATGAAAACACACCTAAAGCTTGCTTTGCTGACCCAAAAAGATACAGCTAGTTCTTATTGGACAACAGAATGAATTAGGATAAAGCAAGGAACGAATATGCTGACACTAAATAACTCCTACCCTGGTTACAAATTTAAAGATCTCTTTGATTCCTTTGGTAAGGATCCATGTGTTTCTTATCATGCAAGCATTTTAAAAATCTATTGGTGTTACTAAATTCCTCAATTATGCTGGAAAATGATGGTCATTAGAAAGCCACACCTGAAGCTCTATAACAATAATTAAAATGTGTCTAGAAAACCTTTTGACATACTTGAATTCTAGCTTCACAAACGGCGCTGCTGCGAGTGATCAAAGACTGGCCAATTATCTGATTCAAGATTTCCATATGGTTATGTAATTTAAACATCTTATAGATCCCTGGTGCTCAACCTGTGGTCCGATGCCTGTAGGCACGTATTGTGTGTCCCCTGCAGAAAGTATTCTATTTTAATTCTTACTCGAGCCAGTGAAGAAAATACAACGATCAGCCATAACACTATGGCCACCAGCCTAATATTAAGTAGGTCCCCCTTTTGCCACCCTGACCTGTCGCGACATGGACACCACTAGACCTCTGAAGGTATCTCGCACCAAACAGTCAGTAGCAGATGCTTTATGTCCTGGAAGCTGTGAGGTGGGGCCACCATGGATCACACTTGTTTTTCCAGCACATCTCACAGATGCTTCATTCTGGAGAATTTTGGATGCCAAGTCAACACCTTCAACTCATTATTGTGTTCCTCAAACCATTCTTGAACCATTTTTGCAGTCTGTCAGGGAAGATTATACTGCTGAAAAAAGTCAACTGCCATCAGGGAATACCATTTCCATGAAGGTTTGTACTTGATCGGCAACAATGTTTAGGTAGGTGGTACGTGTCAAAGTAACATTCACATGAATGGCAGGACCCAAAGTTTTCCAGCAGAACATTGCCCAAAGCATCACACTGCCTCCGCCAGCTTGCCTTCTTTCCATAGTGCATCCTGCTGCAGACCAGGAACATTCCACAAGAGCTGCAGTTTTGGAGTTGCTCTGACCCAGTCATCTAGCCATCACAATTTGACCCTTGTCAAAGTTGCTCAATCCTTACGCTGCCCCATTTCTTATGCTTCCAACACATCAACTTCAGGGACAAAATGTTCACTTATTACCTCATATATCCCATCCTCTTCCAGGTGCCATTGTAATGAGATAATCAATGTTATTCACTTCACCTCTCACTGGTCATAATATTATGGCTGATCGGTGTAGATGGAGAGGGGAGGTGGTGTCACAGCTGGCATTATTCAATGCTCTCCTATCAGCCTCTCCCCTGTCATAAGATTTATTAGAGCCTCAAACATAAATAAATGATAGCATTGTATTGCTACAGCGTGACATTTGATTGACAGTTCTGTATCTGCTCGGGGCTGCTAATGTCAAATGCAAGATGGGGGCACTCAGCAGCAGTCTTAGGTCTTAATATAATACCATTAATAATTACAGGGAGCTTAATTGCAAATTGTTTGAGAATGTAAGGGTTTAAAAGAACACAAAACCCCCCTAGTCACATGCTTAGGTTGTTGATTATTATCAATAACTTTAGTCATGGACGCAACCTAAGGGGGGAAAAAATTACACATTGTGTTTTATCTATATTATATTAAAAAAGTGAGAGGTCAGGAAAGACAAGATACCAGTTAGGAACATAATACAAGTTGGTGTTATGTATATATATTTGCCCACGTTTTGAAATTGTGAAGTGATGAACATACTTACCAGCTTCTCATAAGACTGTGTGAGTTATGTATCATTTTATTAACATATTCAAGAAATGCATGTATGTGTAATTTGTAGTGAAATGGAGGAGTACCAGTGCTTGCATTCTGAATACTAATATACTAATATACACTGAATTAACATGAAAAATATCATGGTTCTCAATATATTTACTGAAATTAAATTGCTTTTCCCCCCACACTGCAAATACAGAATAAAAGCTCAAGTCTCATGTCAACTACACTACTGTTTGATGCATGTGAACCTTTCACTCACACCTAAGAAATGGCCCCACAAGGAGCCTGCTATTAGCTTCTCTGTTCCAGAAAAGATTTCTGTATACCTCAAAAAAATTCCTCTCTTTGCTATGGAGTCTTAAACTTTACTATGAAGTCCTACTTTGCAAATTGAACACAATCTCAAACATGCAACGGGGAGTTTTCCTTGTGGTAACTGCTGTCGGTCAACACTTTTTAGTTATTTTTTTATATTTAAAGGTGGAGGAAAGGTTCACTTTATTTAAGCCCAGGTATCTTCAATCTACACTGAATCGGAAGAGAACATATAGATAAGAGATTAGCAGACATGTAGGTAAAAAGGTAAATGAAAACACGGATGATTCTTAAAAGCCTCAGCCAGCAGGCTGCAAGCCCTCCACAGTTTACATGTTTCAGAGGACACGCCTCCTTCCTCAGAACCATTGTTCCTTAGAAAGGCGTTAACTGTGGAGGGCTTGCAGCCTGCTGGCTGAGGCTTTTAAGAATCATCCGTGTTTTCGTTTACCTTTTTAACTACATGTCTGCTAATCTCATATGCTTGTGAGTATGGTCTTAGCTGATTTTACCGATTTGATTAAACTGTTTTACACGATGGAGGCGCTCCTTTTGTTTTTTGTTTCAGCTTGCCGGTTACCATGACCAGTGGGAGCTGGCTCGGGAGTGTATCACTCTGCACTCTTTTTCAGCTGCGGGTGTTTTTTTCATATAGATAAGACATTTAAGGTTAGTCATACAAACAATTTGATAATCAATGCACCCTTTGCTGGATCAGATGGAACAATGGTAAATACAGTACATGGTACAATTTCATATAAAACTTCCTTGCGTTATGAGTATATCTATGTGCTGATAACACAAAACTATGACAACACAGAAAATGTAGATATAAAATGGTCTAAAATGGTTTCCAAAGAACACTTTGTGCAAAGATGTCACAGTCATGTACTGTGACCAAGACTCCAAATATTGGTATACTGTACTATAGCAGATACATTTATTGAGGTCCTCTTCCATGTTAACCAGCTTTTAGCACATATAAGTGGAATGTTGCTGATACTGATGGTGTTCTACACTTCATTTGTTATTAAATCCCTACCACAGTCAAAGGGATGAGATAGCAGATAATCCTTATATACCCCATCGATCAGTTTCTCTGCATTATTCTTTGCAAACCAGCAGTCCACTTGGTGAAGGCCATTGTATAATCTCCTCTGCTTTCTGATTACAGGGACTGAGCGATTCCTAACCTTCAGCATGTTAATGACATTTGAGCTTTGGTTTGCTGCATGACCATTGTTTGTGCTCAGTGGCACCTGTGTGACCTTAACTTCATTATATAGGAACTGACCTATTGAAGAAAAGAAAAATGTGTCAGTCATTCGTCTGCGCGTTAAATGAAATCTCAGTGAAGAACATACCCCCAATTGTAGAAAAAAATGGTTACAGGTACAGGACAGGCAGTGGCGTCGCTACAGGGGGGCCAGGGGGGGGCAATTGCCCCCCCTAGGTTATTGCTTGCCCCCCCGTGTGCCCCCCCGCTGGCGCATCCGAGTGACAATATGGGAACTGTGCACCCGCTGCTGTTGCGATGCGGCCGTCCAGCCCAGTCAGAGCGGCGGTTGGAGAGACTATTTTTTCGGGGGGGGGGAATTGCCCAGTTCCCCTCCCCCGAGAAAATAGTCTCTCCCACCGCCGCTCTGACTGGGCTGGACGTCCGCATCGCAACAGCAGCGGG